TGCTCGATCTTCTCCCGTGGTACCCCCGGCATGTCTGTAGGTTTCCAAGCAAACACGTCGGCATTGGCACGTAGGAAGGAGATGAGCGCGCTTTCCTATTTAGGGTCAAGGTGCGCCCCAATCTTCACGGTCTTGGAGGGGTCATTGAGGCCGAGGCCGACCTCCTTGACTTCCTTGGACTTGGCAAAGGCGCGAGGAGGCTCTAGCTCTAGGATCTCCATGTCATTGGGAGGCACCGTCTTGGCTTCGGTGACCACGCTAGCCATCTGGATGGAGAGATCGGTAGCTTTGGCGAGGGCGAGACTCTCTGTCTCGCAGGCGTAGGCGATGGACAGGTTGACTCAGAGGGCCAAGACTCCAGTAGGTGAAGGCATCTTCAGCACCAGATAGGCGTAGTGCGGTACAACCATGAACTTGGCAAGTGCTGGCTGACCAAGTATGGCGTGGTAGGTGGTGTCGACGTCAGCGACGTAGAAGTTGATGTGTTCGACGTGGTAGTTGCTTGCCGTGCCGAACTGTACTGGTAGGGTGATCTCCCCAAGTGGTTTGGATGCCCTGCCAGGTACCACACCCCAGAAGGAAGAGTTTGAGGGTGTGAGATCTGTTATCCCGAAGCCTAACTCCTTTAGAGCCCCGGCGAAGAGTAGATTCAAAGCGCTCCCACCGTCAATGAGCACTTTTCTGAAAAGCACTTTCCGGACGGTTGCGTCGAGGACGAGGGGGAAACGCCCTGTGTACGGTATGTCCGCCCACTGGTCGGCCCTGCTGAAGGTGATAGGAACCTCAGACCATGGGCGATAGCTGGGGTTGGCGGTGGTTTCCTCTGAAGTGACAGTGAGCACTCATCGGGCGACGAGCTTCCGTTCTGTTCTGCTCTCGATGGAGGCGATGCCTCCGAAGATGGTGGCGACCACCTTGTCATGGTCCTGGAAGGAGTTGTTATTGCCCCCAGGTGGTCGGCGACCTCCGTTGCCGCCGTTGGCGTCGTCGTCTAGTTTTTTGTCCTAGAACTCCTTAGCCAACCCGAGGCAGTCCTTCATTTTATGCTTGGCGTTCTTGTGAAGAGGGCATGGGCTGTCAAGGATCTTTTGGCACTGTTCATCATAGTTGCGCTTAGTGCGAGGTTGACTGACATTGGCGATGATGTGATCTGGCCGGCGGCGGCGATTTTGGCTAGGCCTGGGTCCTTCTGTTCGATCACGGCCGCTGTCACGATGGTAACTGCGGTCGTCGGGATGGCGGTCGTTGTGGCGTCAATCATCGGGGCGGTCGTCGTAGCGGCAAGGTGGACGATGAGTGCCCGTGTCCTCGTTGAAGCGCACCTCAGCTTCCTCGGCGTCGACGTACTAGTTGGCAGTAGTGATCATCTCACCGATGCCTGTGGGTGGCTTGCGGTTGAATTTGGATCAGAGCTCGCGATGGTGGAGTCCTCGGATGAAGGCGGTGATGACCTCCGCTTCTGTGATGTTGGGAATAGAGTTCCTCATCTCGGAAAAGCATCGAATATAGCTGCAGAGGAGCTCGGACAACTTCTGGTTAATACGGTTGAGATCATGCTTGGTGCTCGGTCGAGTACACGTGGCCATATAGTTGTCGGTGAAAACTTTGTTCAGCTCTTCCCAAGATCCGATGGAGTCTGGGGCAAGGCTGGTAAACTAGCTCATGGCGGGTGGCGTGAGCATGACAGGGAGATAATTTGCCATGACACTGGTGTCTCCTCCGGTGGCGCGAACAGCAGTGGCGTAGGCCTGCAGCCACTGTGTCGGGTTCATTCTTCCTTCGTAGGGTGTCGGGTTCATTCTTCCTTCGTAGGGCTCGACCCCAGTGATCTTGAAACCATGGGGCCACCGAAGTGTTCGGAGCGCCCTTGTGAAAGCTAGGGGCCCCTTAGGGTTGTCGGCGCCATCGTCTGTGGCGTTGCCGTCAGCGATCGGCTCGAGGGCCGGGTCCGGGTTGCCGTACTCTTGCTCATACTCCTAGCGGCGACACACTTCGTATTCATGGCGACTGAAATGACGCTGCTCGATACACCATCGTGCATCCCGGAGGTTGCTGAGGTGCACTCAAGCATCCTGTTCGACCTCCTGGTCGTGTTGGAGATGGTGTTCGGCGCGGTGGCCCCCGGCTCCCCCCAGAGGTGGCAGCGACTGGTCGGCGAAACGGCTTTAACTGGGGCGGCGATTGGATCTCGGGGCAGCTGATCGGCGAATTGTGCTCGTAGAGCACGAAGGTCTCTGATCCTCTTGAATCTCATTAACCTAACAATGTGCCGCTTTAAGAATGGCGGCGACCTTGGCGAGCTCGGACGTCTGTGGGAGGCGGGCGAGCTCATTGGCGGCCACTGCCAAATTGGCGCTTGGAGTCTTGAAAACGTCATGGCCGTCAACGCGGAGAAATTCTTCATCGAGGTCGTGGTGGAGCGGGAGTGGCCTTCCTTGTGAATCGAGTCAATTATTCCGAGCAGCCTTGGCCCTTGCAATGGTCGCCTCGTTTTCTCGGCGCTGCGCGCGATTGACGTTCCGGTTCTCCCAAGCAACGCGCTCTTCCTCGGTTTCACCGTTCCGAGGAGGGCTGTCGATGCTGACGTTGAAGACCGCACCACCCCGGAAAGGTGGGAGAAGGAGGTGCTCGGAGAAGGTTTCGGTGAGGGTCTCCGTAGAGCCCTACGACTCGGAGCCCGGATTTTCCTCTAGGATGGTCTGGAGGGATGCTCCATGGTGCTGGCAGGCGTGCAACATGTTGACCGTCTTCGGGAGCTGGTCGGCGATATGGTCGACGAGGGGATGGATGTCCCCCACTTGATCGGTGAATTGGCCCCTCAGTGCGTCTTGGTAGTTAGCGGCGGAGTTGGTGAAGCCGAAGGGTAGGGCCGTACCCCCTAGAGTTTGCCGAGCAACCCCTGACAGATCTAGATCGGAGAGTGGTCGGCGCTGAACCAAGGTGTCTAGAGCCGAATTGACGATGGAGAGACAATCGGCAAGCTTCAGATCGACCTGGATTCGATCAGATCGTCGTTGTTGATCTGCCTCCTCTGGTAACGAGGAAGCGAGCGGCGAGTGGTTGATGAAGGAGACCTCGGAAGTGGTTCCGAGATCAGATCTATAGTTGCAGGTGCGGGGATGATCGGAGCAGAATTGATCTGCCCCGCTTCAAAGAGCTCTCCGACTCCGTTAGCGTTGATGATCCACGAGATCGATCCGACCATGATGATCTAGCCGGGCTGCGGGAGGGACGAAGAGCCTGCAGAAAAAGCCATCTTATTCGATAGGGAAACAGCACGTGATCCCCTACCTGGCGCGCCAACTGTTGACAGAATATCGTCGGCAGTCCTCCGAGGCGTATCCCACGAAGGTAGATTGATCGGCAGAGGAGCGTGAGATCAAGAACAAGAAGGCAACAGAGACACACGAGTGAGACAGGTTCGAGCCGTCAGTATGACGTAATACCCTACTCCTGTGGTCTGTTGGTTTGTATTAGCTATCGTATGATATTGCGTGTGTTTGAAGGGGGTCCCTGACCGCCTTATATAGTCCGGGGAGCAGGGTTACAAGTCGGTTAGATCTGAGAGATAATCGGAAAGTAATAACTGATTACAGGAATCTTGGGATCGTACATATCCTAACAGATCTCGTAGTATCTTCAGGATATCCTCCAGATGTCTTGCGGAAGGCGTCGACCAGAGTCGTGCCCTGCAAGGCTTCGTCTTTTGTGGGGGCGGTCACCGGGGCACATGACCCATGTGGTCCGCCGTGGATATCCGGGTCGCACCCCCCCACACGCCTAAAACACTCGGCAAACAAGCGAGCAATGGTCAGATTTTATGGTCACTTTGCCGAGTGTCCATTGGAATACACTCGTCAAAGCCAAAAAAACTCGGCAAAGAAGGTTCCCAGAATGACAGAAAATGGTCTCTTCGCCGAGTGTTTTGCCTTGACACTCGGCAACTCCTCTCTTTGCCGAGTGTTACACTCGGCAAAGCGACCAAGACCCCCCCTTTTTTACTAATCTGTCACATATAACATACCCCTCTCAATTCACAAAAAAAGCATAACAATTCACAATAAAACATCATCACATGCATAATTATATGTCACAGGTATAATAAACCATCATCATAATTCACAATAAACCATCATCACAAGTCACAATAAACCATCATCACAATTTACAATAAACCATCATCACAAGTCACAACTAAGTCACAATAAGCCACAATGCAAATGCAATCACTGCGTAGGCCCTTGGAACCTCTGCGACAAATCCGGGTCTTGAGACTGATTATTTGATGTCGCCGATTGATTCTACACAAAAGAGAAGTATTCGAAACAGTGTTAGCTTCCTTTTTAACAGTGTTAGACTTCATATTGCAAAGTGAATTCCAGTATCGAAAGGTGTGCATCTACAGCATACTGTAATTGTAATCACAACATTCAACACTAATGCAACACTTAAATTCGTGCTATGCACACAGCAGGCTACTTGCATGTTAAAAATAAGGGAATTAGCAAGCATCCACATATCTACGTGCTGCTGCCAGTTGCAACATGGTGTTAAGCACACAGCAGGCTACGTGCTGCTGCCACTCAACAAGGTCAGGGATCCCAGTGAAGGAATAACACCTGTGAATGGATTGCTACGGAGATCTAGATATTGCAAATTTGTGGCATTGGCCAGTGAAGCTGGAATTGGACCTTCAAACCTGCTCCCTTCCAATATCAATTATGTGATGCTTGTAAGGGTGTTGCCGATACTGGTGGGAAGCGTACCAACAAGTTGGTTGGCCCCAAGTCCAAGAAAAGTAAGAGAGGAGATGTTATAAAGTGCAGGTGCAACGGTGCCTGACAAGTTGTTATAGCTGAGGTCTAGTGCTTGCAGGGTTTTAAGCTTACCTAAGCTCTCTGGAATCCTTCCTCCTAAACTGTTATGAGAAAGCAGTAAGAAAGCCAGGGAAGAAAGATTACCAAGTGAGCTAGGAATCTCTCCTAAACTGTTCAGAAGGCATGCATGCTGATGGTATGGGCAATGGTACAAATCCAAAATTTGGGAACCATAATGGTATCTGCTTTGTATTTAATACCTGCTACAGTCAATATTGCTAGCAAAATCCTGATTAGTTCACTCTAGACATGAATGTTAAAAGAATCATTAATTTTCCAAACAGGTGCTTCACCATCCGTTTCTCCAGAAAATGTGAAACATGCTGCCATGTTTGGTCTGTCAGCAGCAGCAATGAAGTCTAAGCTCTTTGCCGATCAAGAGGAACGTGAAGTTCAAAGGCTAGCTGCTACTGTAATAAATCATCAGGTTAGTATGGGTTTCGCCATCTGATTTGCATGCACAGCTGTCTCCATTTGTTGTGACTGAGTCAAGCCGCTGATTTAGGGGTGGTAGATTTCTACTGAACTGGACCATTTGTTGTTGCATGCTTGGCGCTGGACTTGTTTGAGTCCCTTCACATCTGACTTATCGTTAGATGAAAACTGGTATTAGGTTCTAGAAGTCGGCTAAGACTTTCGGGTCCCTTGATATCTGAGTTGCCTGTTTAATTAAATTAGAAAAGCAGTCTGGCACTCCTGGAACTAAGTTTTGTTTCCTAGCCTAGCTTGATAGTATATAGTATGAGTGAGCTTTTTTGCTGGATCCAAGTCAGAGTAGGGTTAAATTTTCTGGTACCAGCATGGTAGTTGTTTTGATAGACCCTTATTCACACTTACTCTAGTATGTTGTTTGCTGAGGATGGCTTATTGATATTGCAACACTCAATTTGCAGTTAAAGAGATTGGAGTTGAAGCTGAAGCAGTTTGCGGAAGTTGAGACCTTGCTCTTGAAGGAATGTGAGCAAGTAGAAAGGGTTAGACAGAGGATTTCAGCTGAACGAGTCAGGATGAGGTCAGCCCTATTAGGTCCCACCGGAAGCGGTCTACCAGGGGCAGTGGCACCATGCCATCAAATCCAGCAGGCATGAGCCCCAGACCAGTCGGTGTGCTAGGCTCCATGCCACAGACCAGCATGCCAGCCACATATGCCAACAACATGCAGGGGCATGGGCATCCTCAGATGCCTCAGATGCCGTTCGTACATCATTGCTGCGCCCTTGTGTACCTTTGTCCCCATATTGCTGCGCCTTGTGTACCTTTGTTACCAGGACACCTCTTCTTCCCAGTGCAGGGGAGATGCAAAATACTTGCTCCAGTCAAAATAAATTTATATTTTGAACATGATCTTACCAAATCAATTTTTTGGCATTGTTTTATCCCTCAAAATCAACTCTAAGGAAAAGAATGTAGAAAAAATTATTCACCAATAAATCTGAGGTTCATGACACCAGAAAAAATTATTCACATGTCGTTTTTGAGAGAATGAAATCATGAGACGCGCCGGGCGGCGGGCGCGCCATGGAGGGGCAGCGATGCTGACGGTGGCGGGGCTGTGGGGCGGGAGGCGGCAGGGGTGGGGCGCGCTTGGCGTGGGCTTGGCATGCAAGGCGACGGGCGCGTAGGGGGGCGGTGGGGTGGGGTGGTGGTGCGTATGTGCGGTACGGTGTGTTGTGTTCACGAGGGTGAGTGCCGGGGGTGCGGGCCATTGGGGGCATATGAAGGAGTATGCCGAGTGCCAAGATTGGGGCACTTTCGGCAAGAAAGTATAGATATGCCGAAGTGCCAAGATCCGGGGCACTCGGCGGCATTTTTTTAAATTTTCATTACGGCCCGACATCGCGGTGGGGCGGGTCATTTAATTTGCCAAGTGTCCCCCTATATGACACTCGACAAATACTATTTTCGACGAGTGTCAAGTAGAATACACTCGGCAAAATAAATTGATATTTCATGCCCACTCATCCTTCTTCTTCATAACGTGTTTTACTAAATTTATTACGATGTAATTTAAAAAATACCCTGTCAAATTCACTCAACAATGCATATTTGATTTTTCTACGAATATTAATCCATTATTTCATGCAGTTATAGCGCAAATTTAATATATATCAATAAAAATACTATAATTGCAGTTAATAAATTAAAATTATCAAACGGATCCAAAAAATTACCAAAATTTGACGTGAATCAATCTATGTTGTCTATTGCCTATACAAAAAGTTTTGAAGTCAAACCCCAATTCAACCGTCACTTTGACTCCAAATCTTACCGGATCCTTCTCAACGCTACGATTCTTCTTCGGAGATGCTTCGGTTTGTAAAGGTCGTACGTGACAAATTGTGCGAAACCTTCTCATTTTTTTCCACAGTCTCCACGTATGATATCAGGAGATCTTGACAAATCTCGTCATTTTCAGACTTCATTTGTTTTTTTTAGAATTTAAAAATCATTTGACCACACGTTCGTGGTCGTGTTTCCTGAACAAAATGTTCGAAAATTCTTTTCATTTCTTGAGTAAGGCCCCAAAATGGACTCAATAACATGAATATGATTTCTCCACTCAATTTATTTCATTATTTGTATCACTTGCAGTTCAAATTTGACTTAAACCAAAAAATTCCTCTAAATGCAATAAATTACTTAAATATAGCAAACAGATCGAGAAATATACCAAATTTTAACATGTAGTACCACATGTTGTATGTGGAGAGTAGAAAAAGTTTGGAGGGCAGGAAAGGACAAAAATTTATTATTTTGCCAAGTGCCATTAAAAAACACTCGGCAACAATAATACTTTACCGAGTGTAAACAAAAAACACTCAGCAAAAATATCAGTTTGCCGAGTGTCAAACAAAAACACACGGCATACCCTGTCTTTGCCGAGTGTCTGGCAAAGTTCTAACGGCAGGGCGGCGCACCCAACGGCCGTCAGATGGCCGCCGCACGCCCAACGCACGTGACTCCATTTTGCCGAGAGTTTTGTTGTAGTTTGCCGAGTGTTTTTTATTAGGCACTCGGCAAAGTTGTATTTTACCGAGTGCTATATGTTTGCCGAGTGTTTCATTAAATACACTCGGTAACTGGTATGTTTGTCGAGTGCCCAATGGAATGCACTCGGCAAACCCTTAGGCACTCGGCAATTTTATTGTTTCCGGTAGTGAGGAGCGAAGCACTAGCGAGCAGTTTTTTAGATGTTCTCTCTCCTCTAAGTAAGCAAATAGCTAGGAAGTTGTAGGGGACGCCCTATTATTTCGAAACGTGTAATGGTGCCGATTGCTGGCCTGATGTATAATGCAAGTCATCCTTTGCTCTTAAAATGCCTGTTGCCAGCTTGGTTTTGCTGCCATTGCAAAGACGATTGACTGCTGATCTTGCAAGTTTGGAATGGATTTCCCATAATGCGTGTGTGCCGTGCGCGTACGTTCCTCTCCATCCAAGGTTTTGCATAGCTTTTGTCCCCTACATGTTCAGATGCTCGCTCGGTGCGTGTATATATACATATGCACATGCACCCACTCCTGCGTGCAAAAAAGTTTCACAGTTCCAATCCAAACACGTCCGATCCAGAGATCGAGAGATGGCCGGCACCGCCCAGGGCGCCGTGGACTCGCTGCTGGGCCGCCTCTCGTCGGTGCTCCTGGAGGAGGCGCAGCTGCTGCGCGGCGTCCGCGGCGACGTCGAGTTCATCAAGGACGAGATGGAGAGCATGAACGGCTTCCTCCTCGACGTCGCGGCCGCCGACCGCCCCAACCACCAGGTCCGGGCCTGGGCCAAGCAGGTCAAGGAGCTCGCCTACGACTCCCAGAACTGCATCGACCGCTACGTGCAGTGCGTCTCCGACGTCCCCGGCGCCGGGGCCGGCTCCGGCGCGGGCGTCCTCGCCACCCTCCGGCGCGCCCCGCGCCTGCTGAGCACCATGCCGGCCCGTCACCGCACCGCGGTGCGGATCCGGGAGCTCAAGGCCCGGGCGCGCGACCTGGGCGAGAGGCGGCGCAGGTACGACGTCACCGTCCCGCATGTGGCCGCCGCCGTACCTGTCGCCGCCGCCGCCGCGGAGGACGAGCAAGACGACGCGCGGAGGCGAGCTCTGGCGAACGCCACGGAGTTCCTGGACGAGGACGTCCGGGAGGTGATCAGCTGGCTGACCAAAGACCTGCCCCGCGGCCATCCGCAGTGCTGGCTCCGGGTCATCGCCATTGTGAGGAGGCAGTACCAGGAAGACGAGTACCCGCTCACGAGGAAGGTCTACGAGCATCCATCCTTGTCGAGCTGCTTCCATCTCAAGGCATGGATCAATGGCATCGAGAAGTACATGAAGCGCAAGGAGACGCTCCAGTGCATACTGGACCAGCTGCCCGCACTGGATGATGATCATGATCATGCAGACAAGTTAGCGGCAGGCGATGGCGACATGGATGAGGAGGAGCATCAGTTGGTGAAGAAGCTCAAGGATCGTCTCAAGGGCAAAAGGTTCTTGATTGTCGCCGCTAACGATCCATATGGAAAGGTGCGGGCAGAGATAGAATCTGTGGCTGCTAGCCATGGCGATCCCTTTTCAGCTGGAAGTGCCATCATTGTGACGACATGGCGGGAGCCGTTGTTGGTTCCCTACAAGGTCAAGAACTATCTCAACATTGACACCCTTTTCCACGAGAAAGCTGTGGCACTAGTCGGTGACCACTGCGACAGCGATCTGCAGGAGATCATAAGGAAGATACTCACAAAGCGTGGAGGGAACTTCTTCTCCATGGAGATGTTCCTCCGCGCGCTCTATGTCAATCCCAAAAGACCCAAAGAGCAGCTTCAGATTTTGCTGGACAGCCTCACATTTGGGAGCATCATTGCTACACACATGATACTCTTCTCCTACAATGACCTGCCGAGCCATTACAAGAGCTGCCTGCTGTACCTGTCCATCCTTTTTGAGAGGATGTATCTGACATCCAGCTCTCCACAGGATTTCAGAGTCAAGAGGACAAGCATTGTAAGACGATGGGCGGCTGAAAACCTCATCACCAAAAGAGATGGGCTGGTTGCAACTGTTGAGGCTGAGCGCTGTTTTGATGCGCTCGTAATCCATGGTCTAATTCGTCCTGTTGACATCGGTGCTGCAGGCAAAGTGAAGACCTGCACGGTGCATCATCGGATTCTGTCATTCATTACCAAGATGGCCAGAGATGAGGGCTTAGTCGACACTGACCTGCCTCCTGACTTGGCTTCTCGCCTTTCTATCCGCAATGGAATCAGGCTGCAACAACTCCAGCACCACAAAATGAAAAATGTAAAGGGTGCTGAACAATCCACCGGCTGCTGTTGGAGAAACATCCATGAGCGTCCCATTCCCATAGAAGATCCGGAGGATTCTAAATATTTCATGGAAATGGATTACACGGAAGCATTCTTGAGTTGCTGCAAGTATCTCCTCCATTAGGATTCGTGGAAGTGCTGGACCTAGAAGGATTCAAAGGGTTGAAGAAACACCACCTCAAGGACATCTGCAACAAGGTATATCAGCTCAAGTATCTGAGTATAAGGAACACTGATATCACTGAGCTCCCAAAGGACATTGAGAAGCTCAGATACCTGGAGACACTTGACATCAGACAAACCAAGATACGGACATTGTCCTCAAAAGCTGTCGTGCTACCAAAGCTGATGCATCTACTCGCTGGCAATGTTGAACATCAAAGAAAGGATGCTGCCTCTGGGTCAGGGGGCAGGTCATTTTCCACTGTGCAAATGCCTCGTGGAATCGGGAGCATGACAGATTTGCAGATTCTGTGCCATGCTGAAGTCTTCAACAGTGCTGATGAATTGATGGAAGTTGGACGGCTGCAACAACTGAGAAAGCTGGGTGTGGTTCTCCGTGGCAAGGAAGCTCGTCTTGGTCATTTTCTACGGGTGATTGAGAGGCTGAATGAATGTCTCAGCTCTTTGTCGCTCCGAATTGAGCTAACTAGCAGCAGCGAAACTCCTGACCTGAACATGGAGAAGACTGCATTCTCACCCCCAAAATTACTTGAGAGCCTAACCATCAATGGCACCATAACCGGGCTGCCTAGTTGGATCAAGGAGCTTCATCTACTTTCCAAGATAACTCTATGTGGTACTTCCTTGATGGACAATGCCATCTGGAGTCTTGGTGAGCTCAGCAGCTTGCGGTACCTCAGGCTCTGGCACAAGTCATACATAGAAATGAGGCTCACCTTCAAGGATGATGAGTTCTAGAATCTCAAGTACCTTGTTGTCGAGGGCTCAGACATCACCACGATCCATTTCGAGAATGGAGCTACTCCTAAGCTTGAGAACATAGTTTGGGATTTCACGCAATTGGTATCTCTTTCTGGAGTAGAAAACCTTCCAGGTCTGAAGGAGATTGAGCTTAATGGTGACTGCAATCCATATTCAATCATACAAAACATGGCAGCACATCCAAACCATCCTGTTGTCATACATAATGCCAATCCATGAGGTGCCCAAATAATCGTTCTGCGTGTTTTTAATATATCTGCCTGTCTCTGTTGTTCATATATGGTTATGTTGATATATAAGTGTGAGTTGTATCTGAATGAATATAATGCTGTATATATGTATTGTACTGTACTACCTAGCTCTCTGATTTGTATGGGTGTAACTACGATGGTGTTGATCAATAAGGAGTCACATAACATCCTACTGAAATCACTGGTTTGTCATTTGTCAGTACAGATAACTTTTCTTTTCCTATTTAGAGTATAATTGTTTTTCATTGCAGTCACTATATATCATGTTGTGATGTGTAAATGTTACTACTAGAATAATGTTCCAGAACAATATATCTCTTTTTCTAGAGATTGTTTCTTGAAGGCATTATGGATCACAAATACAGAGCCTATCCAAAATGCATACACAGGTTCTATGTGCTCCAAATTGATTCCTTTTTTTCACAATATAATCCAACATAATAATACCACACTATGTCTTTACACACATATAACAAGTTTGTTTGTTTGTTTTATTAAAAAGGGAGTCATAAGGGAAAACGAACTGCCACTAGTGTGGTGGGCTCTAGTGCTTTTGTATTGCTTCAAAATGCACAACGAGTGTGCAGTGCTGTTTTCTCTGTTGTTTCAAAATACAAGTATGAAGCACGGGCAGTTGAAATTGAATCGAGCTTCTGAATTCCGCAAATATAAATTGCACACAACCGGAGCCTTGAGAAATGAGAAACAGGAGTACTACCTGCTTACGTTGCAGCGCCGTGGTGGGTGGCTCCTGCCCGTGCTTCGCGCAGGCTTAACTGGAGTCCGGCGCCTAGCAACCTGGCCACGCCGCAAGACCGTCAGGCACCTCGGGCGCCGACCGCTAGGACTGCCCTCTGCTCTGCGCTCTCCGCCGCCGCGACTGCCACGCCGGATTTGGGTGGATGAAATGTAACGGCTGCAGCAAGAGAGAGACGGGGAGTGGCGTTCCGTGGGCTTCTACTAATGGGCCTAATATCTACAAATATGGGCCCATCAACCCCAACTTCACGGCCCAATTACCACATGCAGGTGCGCAAGATATGATCCGTATCTGATACGGGAGGCACCAACGCCCGGACGTCCGGTCCCCGCAGCGTGTCATGACGAGCTCCCCACTCGTACGGTACGATCCACAAGAGCCCATCCGATACGAGACTCACCCCAGCCTTCCCACAGTGTGCTCGTCCACAAGCGCAGCGCGTGCTGGCCCCAGCCCGCTCGTCCGCAGCCCCCGGCGCGCCGCGCGCTCCGTCCGCAGCCCCCAGGGCACCGCGCCCCATCTCCCGGCCCTAGGGCACCCCTTTGGTAGGCCCCCCGGCTCGCCATGCCCCATCTCCTGGCGTCTGAGCTGTGCCCCATGACTCTCTGAACGTATCTCTGAAACATGAAACACTTGCGACATAAAAACACTCGAATGCAATATACGTCTGAAGGAGATGAAACATTTGGTACATACACATGTAACATATGTGTGAAACATATGCAACATCCATATTAAAACCCTTGCAACTTGCAACATGAAAATATTTACTGCAACATAAGACTAAAACATTTGGAACATATTGTTGCAGCACATGTGTGAAACATATGCAACATTCAAATGAGAACACTTGCAACATACGTTTGGAACAGATAAAATATTTTGACCAAACGCTTGCAACATGCCTCTGAAACACTTGCAACATATGCAAGCATCCTGTATCTACTTTTGCAACATCCATATAAAACAATTGCAACATACCTCTGAAACACTTGAAACATGCATTTGCAACATAGCAGAGCGGAGGCCTGTTCTGGTTGATTCGGGCCGTCGGGGTGGGAGACAGTGACGAGCGGCGGCGCGTGACCACCACCACCACCATCTGGCCACGCTCGTGGGTGCCTAGGCTCGGCCGTGGATGACCGAGGCGCCCCGGCACGTGCGCCCAGCGGACATTAGAAGGGGGGCGGCGGCGAGGCAACCCAACGGCGTTGGGGGTTGGGGAAGAGGCGGGGGAGACCCTCTGCCGTCAACGGACGCGAGAAAAAGAGCGATAGATGGGAGAGCAGAGGCAGCGCGCGGGATGGGGCCGCGGCGAGCGGGCTGCGTGACGCGGAGGTCGAATCCGCGCGGACCAAGTGCACGACGGGAGAGCGAGGGATGGGATAGAGCAACTATCGCGGCGCGAGGCGTGCGATGCAGATGGGAGCGAGTAGCATGAGCGGAAGCGGCGAGGCGAGGTGTGGCGTGCGGCGTCCGGACGGACAAACGCCTGCGTGGGAGCATTGTCGATCCGATATTCAGAAGCAAATCAAGGATTTCTTTTTAAAAATTTTACAGAAAATAACACTTGATTTTTTGTTTCTGTGATGACTAAATAATGATCACACTCCCTCAAAAACAAAAACCAACACTAAAAGCTATTCTTTTACTGAATTATGATTCAGGTCTAGGGCTAGATGGGTTCCAGCAGAGTTTTATGTCAAAATTTCTTATTTGGTCCTGATTTTTTTGGCTCTCAAATAATTTTTCTCACCTATTTGGCCACGCTTAGAACTTTTGATTACCAATCTGGCCCTACGGTCATCTTTTGGCTCTAACACCGTTAAGTGGTACGTGAAATTACCAATTTACACCTGAGATATTATGAGGAACCAACACTACTACAGCAAATTTAACGAAGACGAGTATTTTGGCTTAATTGAGGCGGACAAGCCAACCGCCTCACCGTAAAGATCACGGTTAATCGTGGCTTAACTAATAGAATAACCGAGGCGGACATTAGAAGTGAACCGCCTCGGTTAATACATATTAACCGAGGTGGTTATCCTAATAGCTCGCCTCCGTTAAACCTTTAACCAAGGCGGTTTGCTAAAGGCGTCCGCCTCCGTTAAACCTTTAACAAAGGCGGCTGTTATTAATTGCGCGCCTCGGTTAATGATTTTCAGATTAAAAAAATGCTTTTTCAAATTTGACTTTGAATTTCGCTAATGAAAACATAAATAAAGCAAAAAATAGATGACAAACATATATTACATTCATTCTCGTTCGACGAACTAACATAGAGTTATTACATTAGAGATGTCTTCATCATTGTTTCACAAACACACATCATTCATACGTGAGCAACTAAGATCAGTCATGCATATCAACCTTTCTTGGGAAAGAGGTCCGACAAAATATAATCCGAGATTCGTAACTGGGTGCTCCAGTTTCTGATCCTCTCGAACTTCGGATCCCGCCTCGGTTAATACTTATTAACGGAGGCCTTTGTCTTAGGGAAATTAACCGAGGCGGTTACGTTAGGGCGACCGCCTCGATTAATAGGCATTAACCAAGGCGGTTAAGTTATATTGCCCGCCTCGGTTAAGTATTAACCGAGGCGGTTGTTGGTCCGGCTACCCTGTCTCGAATAACCGAGGCGGACAACCGCCAGTCTCAGAGCCCCGTTTGAAAAATTCAACTTGGTGGGGGCATTTGTTTGATGAATTTTTGGCCGGTCTAAAATTCTCCGTGTATGCACGTGCACTTGTATTTTTTTTTAGCTCCACGTAGATCTGTATTTGTGCATGCTACACTAGTAGAGAACAGACCTTTCATCCGATGCTAAAATGAGCTCTAGTCCCGGCATTTTTTACGCCCGGGACTAGAGAGACCTTTAGTCTCGGTTGGTGTCTCCAACCGGAACTAAAGGTCCCTGCCCAACGGCTACTGCGCTCGGCACAGTGGCAGAGGACATTTAGTCCCGGTTGGAGACACCAACCGGGACTAAAAGTCCTCAACCTTTAGTCCCGGTTAGTAATACCAACCCGGACTAAAAGACCCTTTAGTCCCGGTTGGTAACAACCGGGACTAAACAACCGGGACTAAAGGTCCCCCGATGGGTTAGTTCAAAAGGGAAGCATCACATCCATTGTTAGATGTGTTGTGTAGGTGGGGTGGTAAGCTACGCGCGAGGCAATGCATAGGGTCTTGGGTTCGAATATCACGGGACGCAGCGGTGGGAGGCATTATTTTTTTAAAGCTAGGAGAACCTTTAGTCCTGATTGCTGTTACTCACCGGGACTAGTCCCGGTTCCTGACCCGGGACTAGTCCCGGATGGGTTTCCCACCCAGGAGTAAAGCTATGTTCTTTACCAGTGCTACTAGTAGGTGTGCAAAAGAAAAAAAGTGAATACAGTGCGTGCATGGGAAAGGAACAGGGCACTATGCACTATGCACCAATTTATCCCTCGTTTGCAGCGCCTCTACGTACACGCACGCGTACACCATGAACCGGCCGCCGTATATACATACGCGTATCAGGCTATTATTTTGTGAACAGATTATGCTGGACCCATAAGGCAGTCGCCGCGGCGCGGCTCGGCTCGGCACATGGTTCGCCGGAACATTCTGCAAGCTCTCTGGTATATACGCCCGCCGTCGATATATGGATTACGGGGTGATGTATGTGTGTTGGCTGCAAAATTATGTTGGTATGTTGCATGCTTGGTTTTTGGTTCCTTGTAATATCCTAGGGATAAATTGGTCATTTCACGTATCACCTAACGGTGTTAGAGACAAAAGATGACGGAAGAGCCAGATTGATAATCAAAAGTTAAGTGAGGCCAAATGGCTAATAAGAGAATTTATTTTAACTTTTCAAGGCTAAGAAAGAAAGACAAGTTTCAATTCGGGCCAAATAAGTAATTTTCTCGAGTTTTATCAGGTATCTTGGTTCTATTTGATGCATTCCATAAAGAGAT